AAAAAAAAAAAAAAAAAAAAAAAAAAAAAAAAAAAAAGAAAACAAAGGGCAGAGACTCATGGAGAAGGTGGAGTAGTCAGCAAAGTTTCTTAGAGGAGATGGAGGTGGCCTTTGAGCCAGGCCTTGAAAGATGGGGAGGTTTTGGGCAGAGGGAGGAGAGAGTTAGAGAAATTTTTGGTGGAGGGAATCAGAGGAAGAGATGCCCAAGAGAGGACTGAGGGAGTGGGTCTGAGGTGAGCGAGGGAGGAGGAGCAGCATATGTGGATTCCTAAACACACACATACACACACATGCACATGCACGCACACACGCGCACACATGCACCCACATGCACGCATGCACACGCACATACGTGCACACACACGCACGCGCACACACACGCATCATCGTTATCATCATCATTGTCGCCATCATGATTTTGCTGAGTGTCTCTTGAAGTACAGGTTTTGACAGGTCATGGGCCATTTTCCTGAACTTACCACCTGTCCAGGACAGTAAACATGATGTACATCAATAAAGGCAGATTTTATTGTGACTCACAGTGCCTGGTGTATCCTGAACTTTGTGGAGTTATGGGAAGGGCACCCTTCAGGCCAATAATGGGGAGCCCCCTGGAGGAGGGTGAATGCTGAAGGAGGTACTGAGGGAGTCCAGGGTCTCCAGGCTACCACTGTGACATTTTGAGAGAACCTGGGGCTTTTGCAGATTCTACAAAATGTGGGGCAAGTTCATCCTGTCCAAGCGTGCAGCAGGGCCCTAGGTCCTCGTCACTATCGCGGGACAGAAGTTGGCTGCTGAGTGAGTGATAGAGCCCGTGCGAGAGGCACATCGTGGCAGCCAACCAGCACCCACATCTTTGCCCACCCTGGACCCCTTTCCACCCTCTCCCTGAGCCCCTGCTTGATCCGTCCTCCCCTCTCCAGCACCTGCAGCCTGGCTGCCTTTCCCTCTCTCGCTGCGCCTCCTCCTCTCTCCTGGAACTCTATGGGTAGCCTCTTCTAGTCCATCCCAGTCTTCAGCCCCTCATCTCATTCCTCAGCTCTCCACTTCCACGCTGGGCTCCAGACCCAGACTTCTGTCAGGCAAGGCACAGCTGGACTCATCACTTTCCCCAAACATGCTGCCCTTCCTCCGGCTTCATGGTTTAGTTTTTTTTTTTTTTTTTTGAGACGGAGTTTCGCTCTTGTTACCCAGGCTGGAGTGCAATGGCGCGATCTCGGCTCACCGCAACCTCCGCCTCCTGGGTTCAGGCAATTCTCCTGCCTCAGCCTCCTGAGTAGCTGGGATTACAGGCACGCACCACCATGCCCAGCTAATGTTTTTGTATTTTTATTAGAGACGGGGTTTCACCATGTTGACCAGGATGGTCTCGATCTCTTGACCTCGTGATCCACCCGCCTCGGCCTCCCAAAGTGCTGGGATTACAGGCTTGAGCCACCGCGCCCGGCCTCCGGCTTCATTTCGATCAATACCTCCATCATCAACCCTTCTACGAGACACCCCGGCCCCTCCTCTCCCTCATGCCTCACCTCTGAGCAGCCAAAGGTCTAGGTCGATGACAGCTCCTAAAACGCTCTTGAATGAATAATGAATAAGTAAACGCGAGCAGGCTGGGGGTGGGGCCAGGCGGGGTCACCGCCCACAGAGCTGGCGAACTTAAGAGTCCGCCGGAGACCGGAGGTAGGAGGGCCGCATGCGTGGCGGGGCGCGCCGCGCTCTCCCGGAAGCCTCCCTGGGCGGAAGTGGAAACCGAAACCTTTTTAGAGAGTCTGAGGTACAGTCGTCGCGTGTGGAGCTTGCGGTTATTTGGTGAGCTGGTGTGAGGGGATCCTGGAAGAGTCAGCTCCCGTCCTGGGTCGGGAGGGGTGGGGGCCTGAGGATTCAGGGCCGGAGGGCCTGGCGGGGCCCAGTGGGCAGGACTTGAGGGCGGAGAGGCCCGGAGGCCAACAGGGGCGGGGTCGCGGCGGGGCCCGAGAGGCGGAGGCAGGCAAAGCTGGGAAAGGATCCGCAGACCTTGAACTCCCGGCTCCATCGCCCCCAGGCCTCATGGCGGTCCGAGCGTCTTTCGAGAACAACTGTGAGATCGGCTGCTTTGCCAAGCTCACCAACACCTACTGCCTGGTGGCCATCGGAGGCTCGGAGAACTTCTACAGGTGCGGCGGGAGCCCAGGGGCTCGCGGTGGGGGCAAGGGTACCTGGGAGTCAAGAGCTCCGGCGGGGTGAGGGCGCCGGCCCTTCCGCCCCGCGACCACCGAGTCCATGTCCCTACAGTGTGTTCGAGGGCGAGCTCTCCGATACCATCCCCGTGGTGCACGCGTCTATCGCCGGCTGCCGCATCATCGGGCGCATGTGTGTGGGTAAGGCAGGTGGAGGACGCCGAGGGAGGGAGTGGTCTCCAAGCACCATTAATCTCACCCCCGGAGGGAACCTGGAGTGATCTAGGGATTCCCAGGATATCATCCATTATCTCTGGGCACTATAGAATCTCTCCGGCCAAGCGTCAGGAGGTCGGGGGCAATCCTCTAGGAAAGGCTACTGGATAATAGTAATACCAAATAATGTAAAGTGCTTTCACTTGTTCTCATTCCTTCTTTACAAAGACACTGAAAGGTAGGAATTACTGGCCTAACTTGACTGATGAGGAAGCTGAGACAGCCTAACTGACTAACTTCCATGCCTAGTTCCTAATGTGAAGGAGGATTTTTATCTCCCTTTTTTTTTAAGACGAGATTTTTGCTCTTTCGACCAGGCTGGAGTGCAGTGGCAAGATCATAGCTCTCTGCATCATCAACCTCTTAGACCCAATCCTCCCACCTCAGCCTACCAAGTAGCTAGGACCACAGGCTGGTGCCATCACACCTGGTTGATACTTAAATACAAGGACCCTGACCGTAGACACGTGGCTTCCCTGGCCTTGACCTCCTGGGCTAAAGTGATCCTCCTGCCTCAGTCCCTTAAAGTGTTCGGATTACGAGAGCCACTGTACCCAGCCGAGGATTTGTGTCTCATCTCTCTCTGCCACTGTGGGCAAGTTGTTTTCTCTTTCTAAGCATCCATTTCTGTCTCTCTAAAGATTAGCCAAGATTTGCGGTCAGTTACATTGAAACCTTAAATTCCCTTCACCACATCTCTACCCTACCTTCCTACCTGTTGCACTGTTTATCATGGTCCATAGTCCTTTCTTTAAGCTGCATCTGTCTCCCATTACTACTGCCTGTTGTTTCGTAGTTTTGCTCATTGAGGTCACTTTTAAAAGTCTGTTTCTTTATTTTTTTATGTTTATTTTAATTTTTAAAAATTTTTTTTTTTTTTTTTTTTTTTGAGACGGAGTTTCGCTCTTTTTACCCAGGCTGGAGTGCAATGGCGTGATCTCGGCTCACCGCAACCTCCGCCTCCTGGGTTCAGGCATTTCTCCTGCCTCAGCCTCCTGAGTAGCTGGGATTACAGGCACGCACCACCATGCCCAGCTAATTTTTTGTATTTTTAGTGGAGACGGGGTTTCACCATGTTGACCAGGATGGTCTCGATCTCTTGACCTCGTGATCCACCCGCCTCGGCCTCCCAAAGTGCTGGGATTACAGGCTTGAGCCACCGCGCCCGGCCTAATTTTTAAAAATCTTAAGCCTGTTTCGGAGGCTGAGGTGGGTGGGTCATCTGAGGTCAGGAGTTTGAGACCAGCCTGACTAATATGGAGAAACCCCATCTCTACTATAAAAATACAAAAATTAGCCGGGTGTGGTGGCGCATGCCGGTAATCCCAGCTACTTGGGAGGCTGAGGCAGGAGAATTGCTTGAATCCGGGAGGCAGAGGTTGCGGTGAGCCCAGATCGTGCCATTGCACTCCAGCAACAAGAGCAAAACTCCGTCACACACACACAAAAAAAACAACACCCTGATCTCTAGCTATGCCCTTAGGACTTGAGCAAGTTCTGACAAGGGAAATTGTAGCTTGGTCGTTGGTGTATTTGATGATGGGCATGACCTGGAATTTCGAAATTGAGAGGTGTGTATTTGTAGTTTGTTCATTCTTGTTGCTGTATAGTGTGTTTTGTGTATGTATACCACAGTGTATTCATCCATTACATCGACAGTACATTTGGGCAGTTTTCACTTTGGTCTAGTAGGAATAGTGCTACTATGGTTTTTTTAGTGAACACAAACATATTTCTACTGGATATATAATACCTAAGAGTGGCATGGCAGAGTCACAGGTTATGTGACTATTTAGTTAGTAGTAGATGATGCTGGATAATTATCTGAAGTATCTTACACTCCTGTCTCAGTGCATGAGAGTTCAGTTGCACCATATATCTTTGCCAACACTTGGAATTGATGACTTGTAAAAATTTTAGTCATTCTGGTGGCACGGTGGCTCACACCTGTAATCCCAGCACTTTGGGAGGTCGAGGCAGGTGGATCACCTGAAGTTAGGAGTTTGAGGCCAGCCTAGCCAACATGGTGAAACCCAGTCTCTACAAAAAACACAAAAAATTAGCCGTGAGGTGGTGTGCCTTAGTAATCTCAGCTACTCAGGAGGGTGAAGCAGAATTGCTTGAACCTGGGATGCAGAAGTTGCAGTGAGCCAAGATTGCACCGTTGCATTCCAGTCTAGGTGACAGAGTGACACTGTCTCAGAAAAAAAAAAAAAAAAGTATCCATTCTGCTATGTGTGTAGTGTTATTTCAGTTTTTAAGTAGAAATACACAACTAATGCCAAAAGCTCTTTCTGTTAGTGCCCCCCCCTCCCCCGTTGATGATGGTGAAATAGGCAGTGTTTGTTGGGACTCCTGGGTAGTCTCTGGCCTGCCCTGGGTGTTATACGAATCAGTGGGTTGTGGGTTGGAGGGCTGCGCTCTGGGCCTAAAGCTTTCCTGGGAAAGCTGATTGGGCTGGGCTGTTGGGTTGTATCCTCAGCCCCTAGGGCTCAGCAGGCATCTTGTGTGTTCATGGTTCACCTTTGTTCCGCACCCCCCCCACCCCGCTCTAATTTGGTTTTCTCTAGGGAACAGACACGGTCTCCTGGTGCCCAACAATACCACTGATCAGGAGCTGCAACACATTCGCAATAGCCTCCCAGACTCAGTGCAAATTCGGCGGGTGGAGGAGAGGCTCTCAGCCTTGGGCAATGTCACCACCTGCAATGACTACGTGGCCTTGGTCCACCCAGACTTGGACAGGGTGAGGCAGCCCAACCTGACCCAAGTGTCACAGGGCTATCCTAGTCATTGGTCTGTCACTGATCTTTCCTAACAGGCAGGAATTAGGGGTCTCTTCTGTGGTTTCTTTTTATGTATGGGTTCTTGAATTTCAGGTACTCATTAGAATAATGATAACAGATGCCTTATCAGTGTCAGAAAGAAGCTGGGGAGGGTATGAATCCTTCAGGATTGGTGAGATTGAACCATCCAGTCCTGTGGTGATTGACTGTTGAATTTTTGACTGTGGGTGAGAGGGGAAAAAAAAGTGACATGGAGACCTGCCTCCATGCATGAGTATTAGGGGCTTCACAGCTGGCCCTGACTCTGCTCTAAGCTGTACTTCCTCCTTTCTCTGGGTGAGGCTTTCATATGAGATACATTGGAGAAATGAGTGGCACAGGGAGCCAAGGCCTGGGTGCTTCTGGGCATGGAGAGCCCTGGTTCTGGGGCTGTAAGTTCTGGACCCTGAACACAATACCTTTAACTGATAGGAGACAGAAGAAATTCTGGCAGATGTGCTCAAGGTTGAAGTCTTCAGACAGACAGTGGCCGACCAGGTGCTAGTAGGAAGCTATTGTGTCTTCAGCAATCAGGGAGGGCTGGTGCATCCCAAGACTTCAGTTGAAGATCAGGATGAGCTGTCCTCTCTTCTTCAGGTCCCCCTTGTGGTAAGCCTTCCTGTTCTCTGAACCCCGTCTCCTGCTGAGGCAGATCCTTTTGCCCTGTGTTCGGGAGTCTGAGTCATTACCTGCTGCAGTTTGGGACTGGAGCTGCAGGCCAGGGAGGAGCAGGGTTTGGGGAGAGTCCTCACTGAGGAGGGAGAGACTGGTGCCGTGACTCACCCTGAGTCCTTCCCTTGGCAGGCAGGCACTGTGAACCGAGGCAGTGAGGTGATTGCCGCTGGGATGGTGGTGAACGACTGGTGTGCCTTCTGTGGCCTGGACACAACGAGCACAGAGCTGTCAGTGGTGGAAAGTGTCTTCAAGCTGAATGAAGCCCAGCCTAGCACCATTGCTACCAGCATGCGGGATTCCCTCATTGACAGGTACCTGGGGTCTCCCCTTTCTTCTGCCCATGGCTGGGCGTTAACTTGGTTTTTGCGAGTATGGGGAAAAATGTCATCTAGAATGGGAGCCTACCAGTTTGTTCTGGTAGCTTCTCGAGTGTGAGAGCATATCTGCATACTGCTGAGCACATAGAGCCAGCACATTTTTTTTTTTTTTCAATTCACCATGATATTAAAAAATTTGTTGAGCATCTGCTAATCCTCATTTTTGTGGCTTTGTTCAGGGCTAGGATATGCAGCTGCTTGAGCAGCTCTTCAGAGCTGATCTGGGGGTGAGGGCCGAGGCAAGCACCTCAAGGGTGAGGCGGGCTCTGTGAAACAGCTACTGACTGTGCACTTTCCTTTCTCTTCAGCCTCACCTGAGTCACCTTCCAGGTTGTTCCGTGGGCTCTTGGCTCTGGACTTTGGCACCTTCTCCATGCTCCACCCAATCTGTACTGGATGCTGGCAGGGAGGTGGCAGAGAGCTCACTGGGACTGAGTGGCTGGGCACCCAGCCCTTTTCCACCTGTGCTCATCGCCTGGATCTATCATCATGTAAAAACCTGCTCTGTTGTGCTGGCTGGCAAGCCCTGTGGCTGCTGGCTAAGGGTTCTGCTGTCCTGTGCCACCCCATTAAAGTGCAGCTCCCCTTGGCCATTCTGAATGTGATGTTTGGGGCCCTCAGCCTGTGTACAATCTCCACACTCTCCAGTTGTTCCAGCATTCTGGGAAGCTAGGGTGGGATGGCCACAATACATACCCAGTTCACCTCCACACACGCCATTCCCTTCACCATCATCAGGATGGGAGGCCTCATCCTGGAGCAAGAAATACTCTGCACTATAGTTCTCACGTTTTTATTTTCTTTTTGAGGCACGGTCTTGCTCTTGTCACCCAGGTGGGAGTGTGGTGACACAATGATGGCTCACTGCAGCCTTGACCTTCTCGGCTCGATTATCTATCTATCTATCTATTATTTATTTATTTAGTAGAAGCAAGGTCTCACTATGTTGCCCAGGCTGGTCTGATACTCCTGAGCTCTAGTGACCTACCCACCGCCTCAGCCTTCCAAAGTGCTGGGATTACAGGCGTGAGCCACGGCCCCCGACTTTGCTCCAGTCTTCTCTGTCCTTGAAAGGCTGAGAGTCTGTTCCGACTTTACTCGGAGCGAGGTGAGGCCCCGAGAGAGCTCTGGGGCATCCATCTTCTGGGCATTCTGACTATGGAGGATGGAGGTTGCAGGTCCTTACCTCGGTGGGCGGGGGGCGGGGCATCAGGTTCACAGGTCCCTCCGGGCCTGGGCGCCTCAGAGGCAGCGGGGGCGCAGTCCGTCCCTTTGGTGGGGCGGGGCCTCGAAGTGCTGGGGCGGGATTGGCCGGGTGCGTTCGCGGGGCCCCGCCCCGGAGCCCGGGCTCGAGTCCCGTCTTCGCTCTAACGCGCGGGGGGCGAGGTCGGTGCGTGGTGACGTCACGACGCCAGCTCCTCCCGTCGCCGAGGTGGACTCTGGGAAACCAGCGGGTGTGGCCGTACCAGGTGAGGGCAGGGCCGGGGCGGGGCCCTAGCGGGGATTACCGGCGACTCAGACCTAAAGGGTTTCTTTTCTTGCAGACCATGGGGGCTCAGCTGAGCAGCGGCTGCGGCGCCCCGGACCCTGCGCAGCCCCAGCCCCAGCCCCAGCCCCAGCCCCAGCCCGCGGCGCTGGAGGGCGCGGAGCGGCCCCGGCCTCAGCCTCAGCCTCAGCCGCCGCCCCAGCCCCAGCCCCAGCCCGAACCCGGCCCGTGGGGGCCGCTGGATGATGTGCGCTTCCTCATCGCCTGCACTTCCTGGTACTGACGGCGCCCTCCTAGAGGATGGCGCCCTCCTAGAGGATGCTGCCCGTCTGCCCGCCGTTCCCTGTGGTTCTTGTCTGCCTCGTCTCTTGTCCCCACGTCTCTGTCTCTTATACTCCCTCCTGCGGCTCCCCAGAGGCGGCAGAGAATTCGAAGAGGTCGCCGGGGAGTGGAATGAAGTCCCGGCAGGGCCGCCTTCGCAGCCTCGACCCCAGCCTGCTTCCCCCCCTGCAGCCAGACCCAGCTCATCCCTTCGTGCCCACCCCATCCTTTCTCCGGCTGGCTGGGTCCGGGGCAGCCCTGTCACTGGCCTCCAGAGGCAGGGCAGGCCTCCTGGTAAGCCCGCAAAGCTGCTGACCTCCTGACCTTGCCTGCTTTCATTAATATATTTATTGCTGGGAACCGTGCTCTTGACTATGTGTCCCAGGTCATGGCATCAGGGGCCTTGACTTCTGAGAAGCCCGTGCCACAACCACCCTCCCCATACTCTTGAGGGGCGCCGCTCCCCATCCTGGATCCTAAGGAGGCATCATGAGGCTGTGTTCCTGGAACCCCAATAACCCTGGGACTCTAGGGCCAGCCTTTTGTAGAGGGAGGATATCTGACTGCCGGTCTGGCTGATGAAATGCATGGGGCAGCTCCCAGATACTCCAAACCGCCCGGCTCTCCCCCCAGAAGCTTCTTAAGGTCACTCTTGGAACTTGATCTTTGTTCCCTCATCCCAGGGAAATGACACACTCTGTATTTCTGTTTTATTTAGAAATGATTTAAAAAACATTATACAAAGGCTGATCAGTTTAAAATGTGACTGACACTGAAATGCTGTGATGTCCCCCAGGCTGAAGGGAAGCGAGGCTCTGGGGCCCCCAGTTCTTTGCCCCTCTCTCCACCCTGTCCTGGGGTGATGGACAAACAGATGACCACAGGCAGGAGAATCTGAGATTAGAAGCCTCTAGGCTGAGCCCTCTGGGCCTGGCCCCACATCCCTCACCTCTGTGGCCTGGGCTGCCTGCCTCCATCTCCTGCTCATTCTCAGCTGGCCTACCAGGAGCCAGCGGGGAGCCTGGCGGGAGGCGGGGGTGCCTAGAGCTTTCAAGAAGTGAGAGCACCAACCTGAGGAGTGGACAGGGACCAGGAAATGGGGGAAGGGAGGCCAGGAAGAGGTGGATACAGGAGACACTTCTCATCTCAGAGCCTAGAGAGGTCCACAGATGGGGACACAAGGCCCAGCCAGCCCACTGGATGGTCTGAGCAAGTAACAACCTCTCTGTGCTTCATCTGAGGGCACGGTGAGAATTACCGTTGGCCTCCCAGGGCCTACATGAGTTTCATGTGAGTTGACAGATGTGAGCTAATAAAGTGCTTTGCAAAGTATAAAACACTGTACAAACCTATGAATCACTAATATCTCCGCAGTTGTTCCCTGCCTGTCCCAGGGAGCCTGCCCTTGGCCAAAATGAGAAAAGGATGATGACGGGACACAGCGGACCCACATGGGCACCTCTGGGACAAGAGATTTTGCTTGAGACAGCTCCCAGGGAAGCAGGAGTCCCTGTCTGTGCTACAGGGTAAGCCTACCCCAATCCCAGAGACCACAGGGTCGGGGGCAAGGCCCATGCAGGCTCAGCGAGCAGGGGTGGCATCCAATACCTGGCCAGCACGCTGGAGACTGCCTGACACCTCTTTTTAGCTTTGGCAGAGAGCCAGTGGGCATCACTGAACCCACTGGTCTTGCCTAGGGCTCCTCAGTGACAAGCAGGACTGCCTCCGCTGCACTGGAGCCAGGCAAGCCAAGCCCTAGGAACTCCTGCCAGAGACCGTGACGGGTGAGCCAGTGAAGGTCAAAATGGGAGGCCCCTCAGCTTGGGGCCGCTACCAGTAGGGGTGCCCTTCTCCTAAGAGCAGTGTGGGAAGATGGCCCCAGTGAGCAGGGTCAGCAAGGGCCAAGCTCTGGGAAAACACTGCTTCTGCAAGACATTGAATCGGCCTCGGGGTAGTTGGGAGTAGGGGTACTGAGCATTTCAGAAGAATGCCCTGGGCCCCTTCCGAAGGACTCCCAGGCCCTGCCACTGTTGGCCCTGCTGCGGTCTCCACCTCACCTACCTAGTGAGGCTGAGCCCCAGGCCGCAAGTGACAGGCTGGAGCAAAGCTGGGGAAGGGGACAACAGAGGGGAGTGGAGGACGGTTACAAACTCAGATCTGCCTCCAGAGATGGGGTCAGCTTCTGCCTCAGCTCTGTAGCCTCAGGAGCAGGGCTCAGCTACTGGGTTGTCTGGGTGCTAGAGTGGCCTTAGCAGCACCTTGGTCCTTGTCGCCTGGGGAAGGGCCCCTATGCTGGCCTTATCACCAAGACAGTCACCTCTAGTTCACCTAAAGCCTCAAGCAGCCTTTGCAAAATGGGACTTTAAACAGTAGTGACAGGACATTAAAATATTCACGATGTGACAGCTGGGTCCTTGTCAGACCCAGCTGGGCCACAGCCCTGCCTGCAGCATGTGACCCTAAATCCTGGGTCCCAGAAGAGACCCTGGCAAGTGGAGCAGGTTTCCTGAGGGATCTGCTGTCTGCCAGCAGGGAAACCCAGGCTTTTTGCCCACTGTGTCAGAAGCAGGGGTCCTGTAACCTTGGAGGACAGTAGGGTGGGGGTGGGGGGACATCTGACCAGCAGGTGTTGGCAAAAGGGGACCAGGACTGGTGGCATCTCCCAGATGGGGGCTGAGAGCTAGTGCTGGCTTCCCACAGAGGGTGCTGGGTCCCAGCGAGGAATGGAGCTGTGGTGCCTCATGGATACCACGGGATGCCGTGACCACAGGGGCTCCTCCTGGCATGGTCCCTGTCTCCAGATGGAGCCTGGCCTATTCCCTTAAGTAGGGAGTAGTTTACCCAGGACAGAAGGCTGGCAGCTGGGTGCCAGACACCCACCCTGGGGCACAGCCCCCATAATTCCCTGTCCCACACTCAGCCTAGGCCAATGCACCCACCACTTCAGCTGTATGACCCCAGCCTAGGGCCCTGCTGGCCCTGGTGAGCAGTGGCCAGAGCTGCCCCTCAGACCCTGGTGAGGAAGGGCCTGGCTGGCTAGACCGAGTGTACAGAGAGGGCTTTGGGCTGCTCATACCCACTCCTGGACTGGCCGCTTATAGTAGGTGACAGGCTGAGGGCCTGTCTTGTTCTTGAACTGGAAGATGGTGTAGACCAGCACCAGGATACAGAGGGACAGGATGCAGGGGATGACCACGGCCACGGCATTCACGGAACCTGGCACATCATTGATGGTCACCATGATGTCCACGTCGTCCTGGGGCAGCCGCCGCTCCTTCCGCCGCTCCACCTCCTTCTGGTTGCAGCCCATCCAGTCACGAAGGATGTTCCGTGGGTAGCCTGGCTCCACGCTCAGTTTCTGGTTGTCAAACTTCCAGTAGTCCCTGCCCTTGTAGAAGTAGGTGTAATCTGCAGAAATACAGCCCAGTGTCACCGCTCCCAGATACTTCCTGCGCCTGCTCTGGGGCAGCATGAGAGGGAGGGCATCAGGCGCTGTGGCAGGGGAGGCAAGGTGGGCACACCTGGAGGCTTGGGGTGCAGTGCTTGACTGAGTCATGGAGTGTGAACCTGCAGAGGGGGGTGCCAGGCACCTGGAGTGGCTTGCCTGTCATCTCACAGGTGCTGGGAAACCAGCGGGAGAACTGGGACATGGTTCACTTTGTGCCACCCAGACAGGACCCTTTGCATGCAGTCTGGGTCACAGCTCTGTTACTCTGTGCCCACAGGCCCCCCCGCCCTGCCCATGTGAGTCCCATTAAGCCTCAGCCCAGCTCCTGCTTGAGCCAA